ATTTAAAACGGGCCTAAATATCTTGTGATCCAACATATATAAAAGAAGGCATTCTAATTGTACTGTATATGGACATCTCTACCAAATTCAAATTGTGAAAACACAATAAAAGCAATGAAAAAAACAATTTTATCAATCCATTAAAATGTGTCAACACTGCAATTTACAGTAATGTTACATTTAGTTCCAGTAATCTCATCTTTAAATGTCATTACATCTTCCGTAAAGAATGGATTTTGAAGACTTACAGAAGCACAGATTTATGGAGCTCTTTTGTATGTAAAGATAAGCACTAGTTTCATAGTGTGTGTCCTGGGTCCCAGATTTTGCTTCAGGCTGAAAAGGCTGACTGAGTTTTATTCAATGTGATATAATGCTGTCTTTGCCACGCCTCTCTCTTGGGAGATTTCATAGAGGGATGTCCTGCTGACCTTAATTTATTGAAGAGGGTCCGACCAATCGTGAGAAGCCTTTCTCACGCATATAGAAAAAAGACCAAGAAAGCTGCTCCATTGATCTGTAGCCTTTTTATGCCATTGTCCAGAGCAATAGTTACATAAAAAATGCTATAAATTTGATCCTCATTGCCACACAACTCTATCGTTTATTCAAACACTGACTTAGTATGGCAGATTAGGGTATTTGCTATCCATCATATTAGTAATTCAGTAACCTGATTACTTTGATCATTAACAATAAAAATGAAGTTAACTGAACAATAATTTTATAAGCTATGAAGGCTTTACACACAATTCTTTAAAAAATATATAAAAACACGATGTGGTAAAAATGCATAAAAAACATGTTTCATTTCTCACTGTAGGAGGGAGCCACAAGAGAACCTAAAATACACATCATCAGTTTGACTGACCACTACCCACTGCCCATGTCTCCAGTTTTAATCAAGGACATTCCTGTCTAAAACTACCATTTAATAAGTTATAAGTTGTCATAATATTCTGTTTTGCAGCGTTGTACACTTCAGCCTCGTCTGTTGAACAGAATTCATAATTTCACATTCTTTTTGTGTTTTAATGTTATCTTACTACAATACCCAGCATACAATGCACTAACACATTATACATCCATTGAGAATCCCCCCTGCTGCGACAAAGAAATCCACAGACGTAGAGGTCAATAAAAATCAACATGACATTTGGCTTCCGGCAGCTATCTGCCTTCCTTCTGTATTAGCCAGCTAGGCAAAAAAATGTATCCACCCCAAAGGACTTATAGTTCCTCCCATCTTCAAGACTCATCATCAGAAGGGTATTTCCTGGTCTTTAACCTGGAAAATCTCACTCTAGAGACTACTACAGCACCACTGTAGGAAGAGAGTAAGCAAGCTTTCTTTGTTTCTTGTTTCTTTTTGGCCAGAGTGTCCCTTTAAGCACCATGACCCAGAAGGATAAGCGGTTTAGAAGATGGATGGATGGACGGATGGATGTCCCTTTATTGAGTGTGTGTAGATTCAAATCCCAAATGACAGCGTCTTTGTAAAAACTGCAAAAGTGGGTTTTAAGAAGAAATTTCTTCCTAATAACTGTTGGTGAACGAGAGAAACAGTACTGAACTCATCACAACCAGGTTTATCCAGGCTAAATTAAACACAAATGATTCAATGGAAGCCCATGCCTGCCAAGTTTCTCCTTTTGACTTATGTCTCAAAATACTGACTTACTATCTCTAAATATTGACTTAGTATCTTGGAATAATGAACTTACTATGTAGATTCAATTACTTATTGTCTCAAAATATGAACTTATAATGTTGAAATCATTACTTACTTTCTTCACATTTAATGCCTAGTTTTTGGCATAGTTTCTCAAAATGTAGTAGTCAATATCTGAAAGTCAATATTTGAAAAAAAAGTTATTTTAAGATTTTAAGTGTTATTTCAAATAAATTATAAATTAGGCATTATCTTGAGATGTAGAGTCAATATTTTGAGAAATCATTTTGAAATATTGAGTCAATGCTTGGAAAAGTCATTGCTTTGAGATATGAAGTCAATATTGCAAATACATTTTTTGAGAAGTAAAGTCTTTTATTTTGAGATTTTTTCTTGTCTACCTGGTGTGAATCGGCTTCTATATGTTACTCATAATTACAGTTTCAACAATGTCAGAGATTCTAAATGTAATAGTGTTTGAAGACAATAGTGGGTTTCAGGTAAATATTAATTAGTAAAGTGTGTATAAAAGGCCTAGAGTGTGTGCAGAACCACACTCAGGTGATAGACTGATTAATTCTGAATGAATGAGATTAAATATTGAGTGTCCTTTACTCACTGTAGCTCTGACACTTAGTGTTAATGTAATCATCTTCTTAATGGGGCTTATTAGTCATAAGGACAGTTGATAAAATAATCCAGGCACTGTTCTTCAATGTGTGTGTTTGTGTATGTTTGTGTGTGTGTGTGTGTGTGTAATGGTACCCCTGTCATTGGCCTCTGGCTCTCCCTAAAATAGTGCGAGGCAGCTGCTCAGAGCAAAGTCAAATGTGAGAACCTTTAAAGCAGCGGCAGTATGTGGCTCTGTTTGATCAGCACAGGAACAGAGTTATGAAAGGTCACTGATTGTTTAGAGAGGAAGATGGATGGAGAGAGAGAGAAGCAGAGAAAGAGAGAGATAGTAAATAACTTAGGTGATTTAAAGGCATTGTATTTATGAAGATGATAACTTCAGTGGTTCATACACTGATGACATGACAGTGGACCATAAGTGACAGGCTGCACTGATGACATCACAGTGGCCAATAATCAACAGGTTGCACTGATGACATCACAACCGCCCATATGTGGCAGGTTGCACTGATGACATTACAATGGACCACAAGTGACAAACTGCTGATTACATCACAATATCCCAAAAGTGACAGGCTGCACTGATGACATCACAATATCCCATAAGTGACAGGCTGCACTGATGACATCACAATATCCCATAAGTGACAGGCTGCACAGATGACATCACAATATCCCATAAGTAACAAGCTGCACTGATGACATCATAATATCCCATAAGTGACAAGCTCCACTGATGACATCACAATAGCTCATAAGTGACAAACTGCACAGATAATCTTTGTAAAACCACTGGCAATTTTGAGGAAAGACAGAATACAAGAGTTTTTAAACACACAGCTATCAGCAAATCAACTACGATGATATTACACAAACATGCAGCCTTTCAGTAACACAGTCATACAGAGTGCTTTTTGCTTTTTATCAGTTAGCTCTGCATTGGATCTTGTCTCTCTCAGATCTATGACAGCATATGAGATAAAAAACCTGACAGAGAAAAACGCACATAGTGGCAAATATCCACAAAACTGTAGAGGCGTCAATAAAAAGTGAGAACAGATGGCACTAAGTATCTGCCGTCTCAGTTTCTAACAGCCTCAAATGCTTCCTCACTTGTCACTTCTCATTCACACAAGAAAAGGGCCTTGCTAGGTTCCTCACAGAGACGTACAACTCCTTGATTTACATTTCAGTTTTGGATTATATTCTTTCCAGCATCTGGACACAGAGGCACTGATCGACATTCACACTGTATGTCCAAAAGATTGTAGAAACCAGCATTTCTTCTGATATCAAGGGTGTGGAGAGTTTTATTTCCTCTACTCTTCTGGGAAGGCTTTACACTAGAGTTTGGAACATTGCTGTGAAGATTTAATGGCAATTAACCACAATAGCATTAGTGAGATCAGGTACTGATGTTGGATGATTAGTTCTAGACCACTTTAACTCCTCCCAAAGGTATTAGATGGAGCTCAATCACTCCCAAGAACACAGCTCCGCTGCTCCACAGCCCAATGCTGGGGGGCTTCATACCCCACTTGCAAAAAAGACAGTAAAGTTCTTATTGATCTTGATCTTCGTGATGTATCACAATACGGAACAAAACTTTAGTCTGAAATAAATCTATTTTTTACAGCTTCCAGACATAGGTGATTAAATATTTCTATTCTAGTGGTTTTGTTCTACACTGCAACCCAAAAGGATAAGCGGTTTAGATGGTGTGTGTGTGTGTGTGTGTGTGTGTGTGTGTGTGTGTGTGTGTGTGTGTGTGTGGTTTTACTCTAATATGGGGTCAGTGTGCACCCTAATCCTGCTTTCAAGTATTAAAACTACAAAGCATTTTGACCTGAATTTCCTTCAACCACTGCACCATCTGCTGGTGGCGAACTGAAGCTCTTACATTATGTAGTAACAGCGCCATCTGCTGAGTTAAGCTAAAACTGCACGTTTATTTTTTCAGTTTGATACTGTTAAACCTTATTATTCAGTATCTACTGTGAAATTTCAGTCACTTCTATGAATTACTCAGCATTTACTATTAATTATTAATCACGTCTATGATTTTTGTAACTACTATGGAAAGTGTAATTCTGAGTGAGGAACTGAAGCGTGGACCCAAATAGAGAATCTTAGATTTTAAGGATAAGTAATAAACTGCCCGTCTTACATTTTGGGACACCTGGTCTTCTTTCGTTCCAAATAAGAGTGTAATTCATATTTGATTTTCATTGTTAGTTTTTAATTAAAGTAAGAAAATAGCTGAAAATTGTATATTTTATACCTGCAAATATTGTGTATAGCATGAAAGAGCCATGTGCTTATCCATTGAGGACATTCAGCTTCATGTTCAAAGTGTTTTCCTTTCTAAATAATTTTGTAACAATTTTATATACACACACACACACACACATATATGTATATATGTGTATAGATAGATAGATAGATAGATAGATAGATAGATAGATAGATAGATAGATAGATAGATAGATAAACTTTTATTTGCTCGCCATTTGGGGACTTTTCTTCTAACCGGTGCTGCGCATAACTGGCACCGATAAAGATTTGATCCCTAACTACAGTTCCGCTCAGTCCCGGGCCAGTTCCACAAAAAACAAAAAATAAATTCTGGGCTAAGCACCAATCATTCGGGGCTCAAGCACTTTACTGACACCCCTGTTTCTAAATATCCTTCTATGTCTCTGTTTATTCACCTGTCTGTGTGTCTGTGTGTCCGGCTGCTCGTTGTCTGTTGTTGTTCGTCAGGCTGTGGTTCGTCTGACCGGCCATGCCAGCGTACCGTGTGTGTACATTCCCTGGATGCACATCCAGCGGTAAAGTGCATAAAAACGTCTCGTTCTTTAAAGTATCGCCACATAAAAGCTGGATCAGGTTTTTAGTGAGCCATGGACACAGCGGGAGAGTCTACAACACCACCTGTTTATGCAGCAAACACTTCACTGAGGACAGCTTCAGTAATTTCTCGCAGAAAGCGAGCGGTTTCGCTAAAACTCTGAACCTGAAGGACGGAGCTGAGCCCACTCTCTCTCTGCAGAACTCAGGAGAACATCAGAACCAGCAGAGGCAACATGTAAGTAACCAGAGCTTCAAATTTAGCTTTTATCATAGTAATCTAGAGAAGTGTAGCAGGCTGGAGGGGCATGTCGATCAAACATCCTTATTAGCCACGCCCCCACACTACAGCGCTGCTCTTTAATTGAAACAAATGCGTGAATTAAATATATAAGATCAACACAATTTTGTCATTCAGCTTACTTATATTATATTGTACACATTTGTGTTTTATGTTTGTATTTAAATGCATAAATTTAATGCACCACTTTTCAGTGCAGATCGGTTTGTTTGATCAGTGAATTCAGCTGTTTTCTGAGCAGTGTTTTATCTTTTTTTCTGGATGTCTAATATTACACTTGAGTTTGGTGGCGTACAAATATTTTGAATATTTTACACTATGTTCCTTGGGACCCTAAGACAAACAGGAATCCAAGATTTACAGATAATTTCTTTTAATGCTGCTTATAGAAACTCCTGTCAGATTTGTTGGAATACTGTACTGTACTTACATTTATATGTTTGAATAGTATATACATGAATGGGATTCCAGCAAATGCACTAAAATGTATGGCGTACATAGCGTTTTTTTAAAGTACTAAAGAGGGACATTAATGATATGAAAACTGGTAGAAACTACTAAACAATCCTGAAAGTGCCCCTCAGAGTGTGTTCGGTCATCAACAAAAACCCCAAATGATGAAAATTAGGAGAATGTTGTCGATACTTGTGTGGATACTTGTAGAATATTAAGAATGCAAAGATCATAACTTTTATGTCCAATTTCGATTCCGATTTCTTTACAGCCAAATTTGCCGATAGCTGACTTTTTTTTCTGACAGGGAGAGAAAGTGCAGAATTATGCCGGTCACGTTCAAAACATTTTTAATAGATAACGGATTAAAAATCACTTTAAGATGGAACTTTTGAGATACCATAATTTCTCAGACTTTCTCCGTAAACTGACTGTTGAGCATTATAAGCTTTCCGATTCATATTTCAACCAGTGACCGTCTCCTCCTTTATAACGTCACTGATCGTATATAATAAGGTAACCAGATTTCTGAAATGAAAACCAGAGACAGTTCCAGTTTGGCGGTCATTATATCATTATAATTTCCAATGTTTTTAACTATGAAATAAAACAGGGGGGACAGTTCCAGCCTACATGCACATGGTGCGAGTAGAGAAAGACACTGCTGCCAGAGGAGCTGCTGACTGAGATTGATGTTAACATTACTCTAAGCAGCATGCATAATAGTTCTATAAAAGATCTATATTTCTTGATCTATATTTCTATAATCTCTCAGAAATCAATAAGTCTGGCTGCTTGGCAGGGATGAGGCAGGGATACATTTACCAGAAAAGATTCAGTGGTTGTAGGAGCCCATAATTCATATTCATATTAAATATTTTGGCAGTGATAAGAGTTCTGGAGAGACAAAGATGGCTGTAAACTGTATGATTGTACAAATCAGAGCCTACCTATCACCAGGTAGTGCAATTCAAGTCCCATAACCCCAACTCTGCTTTTAGTCCCTTGGTTTTGAAAAGACGTTTGTGGTAGTGTTGTGGACTCACATGACACTTGCTAGCTTCTGGTTGCGTTTTACACAGTAGTGTTCTCTAAAACTAGGCAAGCAAGCGGTAGAAGTGGTTAGTAGCAGCAGCCAGCCCCCTCTGTTGGCCAAAACAAGCACAGTGCAAGATGTCTGCCTGTCTGCTGTGCTGCCAGATCCTTCTTCAGATCTTCCGGTGTGTTTTTAATTCACAGTTAAAAACAGGGACATTTACGGGGACAGCTCCAGCTGGGCACAGGCCACCAAAAATGGGGAGTGTCCCCGGAAAATGGGGTAGTCTGGTCGCCCTAGTGTACAATTATAACACTACGGCAGCGGCATTCAAATACAGTGTGAGTGCACTTACCTGTTATAAAAAAACCTACAGCAAAATTAAATGAATAAACTGGCCAACTGCCAATTATGTTTTTAAAACCCCAAAAAACCTGCAGATTCAGATCATGCTTCCCACAAAACCTCATCAGTTGCTCCAATCAGTGCTTTATTTTAGCTTTTTAAACAGAAAGAAATCAGAGTATGGGTATACATACACTGAAAAACCTGATTATTGTGCTAAAATCCAGCTCTCTGTCAGATTTCAAGGCTTTAAAGGGGACCTATTATGATTTTCTGTTTTTCCCCTTTCCTTTAGTGTGTTATTATAGCTTTTTGCACATGTAAATGGTCTGGCAAAGTTACACGCCACAGGGAGTAACTCTCTCCCATAGAAACCATTTTTCTCAGCTGCCTGAAACACCTTGTTGGAATTCCAGCCCTTTTCTCTGTTACAAGGTGATGCCATCTCGTAACACAGTCATTACTGCCCACCTACTGGCAAGCTTGGCAAGCCCTCACCCAACACACAGCATCTACTGTAGGCTGAGAAGAGTTTGTTCAGATTTGTAGAGTGTCGAGAAGATGCTGACCTGACTTTCAGGATTGGGCTCTGGCTCAAACTGATGCGGCAGAATCAACAGCATTGGAAAAAAAGCCACACTAGTGTTTACAGCTGCATAGGAGAAAAGGGTTTGTCTGCTAGCAATGTTATGTTCTCAAACGATCCGGTTCTTTTCAATGGCTGTTTGGTAAGAACGAAGGGAGCCTAGTCATATTTGATTAAACAAGCCATTCAGAGTTGCCTGAGAGAGAGCAGCGGTGGTCCAGCAAGCTATAGAGTGAATGAAGAGAGGGAGCAGCAAGAACAAGGCGGTGAATCAGAGAAATAAAACTTTATTTTCTGATTGTTTCACGGCAGTTACGTTCTAACATCTTCTGCACAACCCTGTGGGAAGGATTTTTGTGAATGCAGCCGCAGTGGATGCCTCATCCTGGCTGCTCCTGTTTGCCTCTCTCTGCACTGCGTGTCCTAATCTCCAGACTGCAAGACAGGGGCAGAACTGCTCTAGCAGTTCACCAGTCAGAACAGACTATCAGATATGGGCGAGCTGACCTATCAGAGCACAATGGGCTCATCGCGAGGAAGGGCATAATGACACCGGCACTCTAACAGAGCGTTTCAGATAGACCTTGAATAGTGATATATAGAATGAAAAAAATGACGTGTTTTTGGAACACTGAAACATGTAAATTAATACTAGCAGATCCCAAAAATAAAATTATGATAATTGAAAATGAGCAGAATAGTTCCCCTTTAATCTGATCTAAAAAAACGGAGATCATTTGAGCAATCAGATAACTGCTGAAATCTGATGATGATAGGATTATTAAGTGCATGTAAACACGCTCAGTCTGAGCTCATGTATGGGCGCACTGTAAACTAACAGCAGCTTCTGTTCATTATTACTGTAATGAAACAAACATGTTCTTTCATAAGACATGAGCACTAAGTAGCTTTGCGTAGTGCTCTGGGCGATAACGCTGGAGATACACGTCCATCTTCCCCTGAATCTTCTTCTCACCACCAACGCCTTCAGAGGTACAGAGAGAGAGGAAATAAACAGAGAAGATGAGCACAGGAACATAGTCCAAATAAAACTTTGTATCTCTGAAATGGTACATTTTCAAGAGAAGAAAAAACTGCTCTTAACTTTAACGTACGTTAATGCAATAGTAATTTTTTTTTATTTTATTAGCAGCTGGCAAATGATGTAAAAGATGGGGCATGATGAAGACAGAACCCTTCCATACAAATTCTAGCAGGGTTCTGTCAACCTACCATGGTTGTCCTTAGAAAACATATAATTTCAACATTTTTTACACCATTTGGAAATTCCAGTTGCTCTTTGCAAATATTTCAGGATGAAATGAAAACAGAAATTCTGAAAAGCAAACCTTTTGAGACATTTTAACCACTCTCTAAGGGTTCAGCATGTAATTCATAGTAGATACTGAAAAAATTATAGTAAACACTGAATAATTTATAGTAGAGACCGAATAATTCATAGTAGACGCTGAATAATAATAAGCTGTAGGCTTAAATAATTGTGCTGTTATTAGTTATAGCAACATTTTTTGTGTGTAAACAGATACTTAACATTTCCTTTAAACAAAACGCAAAATTACAAATGCATTTTTCAATATTCTGCAGAATAAAAATAATGACAGAACCGAAAGCATATTTTTGGTGCACTGTAGGGCTGAAACAGTCAGAAGTCCTCAAACAGCTTTTTCTAAAAGAGCTATAGCTGTTTTTATTTTCTATATACACCAGCCATAGCATTTAAACCAGCTCCTTGTATCTGCACTCTGTCAATTTTATCAGCTCCACTTACCATATAGGTGCACTTTGTATTTCTACAATTACAGTCTCTAGTCCATCTGTTCCTCTGCATGCTTTATTAGCCCACTTTTACCCTCTTCTTAAATGGTCAGGACCCCCAAAGGACCACCACAGAGCAGGTATTATTTGGCTGGTGGATCGGTAAAACTAACAAGGTGGTGGCGTATTAGTGTGTTTTGTGCTGCTATGGGTGGAAATACAGCAGTGCTGCTGGAGTTTTTAAACACTGAATCCACTCACCGTCCACTCTATTAGACACTCCTACCTTGTTGGTCCACTTTAGTGAAGTCAGACACACTTTGTGTTAGTCATCCTCTAGGCCTTCATCAGTGGTCACAGGACGCTGTTGGCTGGATATTTTTGGTTGGTAGACTATTCTCAGTCCTGCAGTGATACGAAGGCGTTTAAAAAGTCCAGCAGCACTGCTTTGTCTGATCCACTCATAGCAGCACAACACACACAAACAGACCACCACCATGTCAGTGTCACTGCAGTGATGATCCACCACTCAAATAATACCTGCCCCATGGGGGCTCTGTGGGGATCATCTTGAGTGATTGCGATTAAGAGATTATGTCATAACTGTGACAGGTCTAACCACATTTTCAGCATTTGTACAGACTAGTCAGCAAAGATAGAATAGTTTTTCAGTTGTGCGCATGTGGTTTGATTTGTTCTGTCATTACAGCCCTTAAAATGTGTACTGCAGAAAGTCTAATCACATTAAAACGATAAAATATGAAGTAACATGGAGCCAAACAATATGAATAGAACTCTTTTTAAACAATCAGACTGTGTGGATGTATCAGGCTGGGAAATATGATGGTATTTATCGTTACTGTGCTAAATTACTTAACAATATGCCACAGTATGCTTTTCTCAGCATATCGTGGATATTACAAGTTCTTAAAAACACTTCTCAACTGCATGTTTCTTTACAAAGAAACTAAATTTGTTCTTTTAATTGGATTTATTGTAGCGCAGTGTGTGAAATGTAGCATAAAATGATTGTATTCATCGTTTTTGATAGTATTTTTTTAAAATGTAGCACTAGATTGTCTGTCCCAACTTAACACACATCAGAAAAAATAAATAGCATGACAGAAAAAAACTTAAGAATTGTGAGATTACATTTTTTTGCCATATCCCTCACCTGTATGGTTGTATGATCGTCAGAAACTTACCTAATTTTTCAGCTGTCTTTTGAATCCACTGCTGTGCGGATTGCATGTCGTCTCCTTCCGAAACTAAAACTTCTATTTCCCCCACACAATAACCAAAATCAGCCTGATCCAGATCGACTCGCACTCTTCCTTCCCCTCCGTCGCTCTCCAGCATGTAAGAACATCGCAGCGTTGTGTATTCTGCAAAGCAAACCAGCTTCAAATCCTGCAGCCAGCTTTCATCTTCTGCATAACCGTCCATCTGTTCCCTTTCTGAGGAGTTTTCAGAAGTTCCTGTGCAGTGTTTCATAACCTTCATCACTTCAGCCTTAATCTGAGGTAGATCTGTAACCTCTCTGTAATTCGTACACAGTGCCTCTGCTTTCTTCTCTGGATTCGTTCTTGAGGCTGCTGGACATTTTAGCTCCCAGGATCCCTCTCGCCTGCGCAGCCAGAAATCTTCCAGTGTTAGAGCGAAATCAGTCGAGTCATAATACTGGTCTTTAAAGTGGTACTGACCGATACATTCAGCTGGAAGGAGAAAACAAACAGCTGAAAGAAATATAATAAGAATGGACTATACATTTTAAAGTCACAATTAGAGATTCAGTCCAGTGCTGTTGATATACACTATATAGCCAAAAGTATGTGGACACCCCTTTTTAATTTTCGAGTTCAGTTATTTTAGCCACACCCTTTACAAACAGGTGTATAAAATCAAGCACATAGCCATGCAATCTCCATAGACAAACACTTGAGTAGAACCGGTCGTACTAAAGAGCAGTGGAAACCTGTTTTCTGGAGTGAAGAATCATGTTTCAGTATCTGGCAGTCTGTCTAATGGATGAATCTGGGTTTGGCGGATGCCAGAAGAACACTACCTACTGGAATACATAGTGCCAACAGTCAAGTTTGGTGGAGGAGGGATAATGGTCTGGGGCTGCTTTTCAGGGTTTGGGCCCCTTAGTTACAGTGAAGAGTAATGTTAATACTACAGCATACAAAAACATTTTACATAATTTTATGCTTTCAAGTTCCACCATGACTGTGCTCTTGTGCACAAAGCAAGCTTCATGAAGACAGGGTTTGACAAGTTTGGTGTGGAGGAACTCCAGTGGCCTGCACAAGGCCCTGACCTCAACCCCACTGAACACGTTTGCGATGAACTAGAAGGTCGATTACGAGCCAGGCCTTCTCATCCAGCATCAGTGTCTGACCTCACAAATGCTCTTTTGACTAAACGGGCACAAATTCCCACAGAGACATTCTTGTGGAATACCTTCCCAGCAGAGCGGAGGTTGTTGTAGCTGGAACAAGCTCATATAGGTGTCATGGTCAGGTGTCCACATTCTTTTGGCCTTATAGTGTATGATGTATAAACTAAGCAAAATACTTTATTTAATATAAAATTAGACAAAATTACTAGTTGGTTGCTATTTTCGTGGCAACATCAAATGATTGTTCTTGCTCATGTCCACTCAGTAAGAAAACATTTGTCATTACAACTAATGACGTGATTTTGTTAAGAACTCATTCTTTTATATAATGAACAAAACATTTGGTGTACATTGGTATTGGACATATATACTGTTTTAAAGCATACAAGTCATGGCAGTTGTTCCGTTTAAGCCACAGTGAGACTGGACATCGGCAGTTTACGTCATCCTGAGAATTGTTTATTGAGGCTGGAATACTGACGATGGAAAGAAGTCCTCCATAGCTACCTCGCTAACAATAAACAGTAACGACACAAAATTGTACATAATTTTAATCAAATAATTAAATACTTTTGAAAATATAGTGCTGCACTAGAGAAAAATTCCCAATCCCATTTCTTCTTTTTACCCCTACCCCTTTTCAAGTGTCACCCTAACCCCTTGGAACTGAGTTACAAGGGGTAGTGGTTGAAATATTGCCCTATGAAATGGGACAACCCTCAAAAAAAAAAAACAAAACAAAAAAACCATTGCTTCATTAACAGCTACTAGCGCTGCACAGTAGGCGACCCAGCCCGTCTTCAGTGATAGCAGAGAAGGGAAAAGTTCAGCAACCTCGCTGCTGGGTTTTAGTTACATTTAGGGCATCATATGCCTTCAAAGAGGGGTACAAGACAATTATTTATTATCGCCCACCACTAATTCTTTGGTGATACGAAGCTGAAGTCAGCTATTTACCAGGTTCTTGTTCGAAATTTCCCGTTCCACCTTAAATGGTGCAGCAGTTACATTCTGGCACTTAAGTCGTCAATACTGCTGGACTATTTCAGGTTGAACGGGAAACTTAGCTAGCTACCTACCGAGACATTAGCATGCTATTAGCTTTTTTTTATGCTTGTTACGAAGAAAACGACCATAATACATTGAACGACATTAAACTAAGATAATACAATGGTTATCGTAATTTTTTAACAGAGAAAATACTTTGTGGGTTTCTTTGGTCGCTCGCGCAGCCATCTTGCCGGTTTTTCTGTTTTTCTCATAACACTCCGTTTGGAGTGTGCCTCTGAAAAATCTCTGTTTGGAGGGCCATGTAGCCCTAACACTTCACCCTAAGTTATCCCTTCATCTCAACAAAAATTGGGACACCCTAACCCTAGACGTGAACACGCAAAACAGAGGGCTAAAGGCTAAGTGGTAGGGGTAACGGGTGAAATGGGATTGGGCCAAAAAGTGTGGCATGGTTGGTGACAGTGGGCTGACTTGTGTGCAGCTGCAGTTAGCCAAGGAGCTGACCTAGCAGTTAGCAACCTGGCTAACTCACCTGAAAACAGTAAAACCACAGATGTAAAGATCATAGTAAAGATCATACAGGCCCCTTTCATGTTTCAAAACGAAAGTTTTTCTAAAACTAAGCTGCAAAACAGCCTGTTTTGAATGAACTGTTTCTGTGATGTGAGTTCATTTACATAACATGAATTTGCATGCTGAAACAAAGTTGAACTGAATGTGAAATTTTGCACATGAAGTTTGTTTTCCCTGTCAGTTTGGGTGTGTTGTGAGGCAAAGTAGTCCCTGTTGTGTGGACGTTGTGTGGACGTTTCATGTAAAAAGCCAACCTAACTCTACTTCACCAACATCCGAAGATTATTTTAATTTGCAGTTTGCAAACAAAAATCCCTTGGAGGGATATATAAAAAAAAAAAATAGAAAAAATACCAAAACAGTGTACAGGAATTTAAAACTATCACCGATACGCGCTCTCGCGCTCTCGCTCTCGCGCTCTCTCTCTCTCTCTCTCTCTCAAAACATTGTCAATAGCAAAGTTTTCATCCAAAGGATTTTTTATGAAAAACGTTGTAATACTTTTTTGTTATTAATCTGAACCAAACTAATCTATGTACAGCAGAATTAGACTTCTGTAAAGAACGTTTTAACACAGAAAATATGCAAAATCACATCAAATCCTGACCTCAAATCAACAGTCGTATCGAATGTGAACATATGTGAATCGTTGCACCCCTAAAAATATTTGGAGATTGAAACACACCTCCAATATCCTTCAGTTTCTCCTGGATGTCTGCCTCGCACACAAATTTCCTCTCCACCTCCACAGCCATTCTGAACAATCCAGAAATACAGAACCACTCTGAAAACAGAACAAATACAGAACCACTCTGAAAACAGAACAAATACAGAACCACTCTGAAAACAGAACAAATACAGAACCACTCAGAAAACGTTACGATTTCACCACATAACAACTACATAAACACAGAAATCCACCGTGATTCATTCAGTTTCCATCCTACCTGTTATTATGAATGAAGGGGAGAGAAAAAGTTCAGGTTAGATTCACTTCAGCAGCTCTAATTCCAGTGTATAACCGCACTGTAGTCACTGCAGTAAAGCAGTAACGTCAATCTACAGCGGAGCACAAATAATCCGGCGCAGCGCACTTTCTGCTCAGGCATGTTTCCGGACACTCTAGTGTCTTTCCGCACGTCATCTTGCGCAGCTTCTGCGCAGCAAGGTCGGATTATATTTATCTATTTAAATCATTGTTTTCACTTTTTAACAGATCTTTTCATTTATTCAGTTTAACCATTTAAAAGTGTCAGAAATATAAATTACACGGTAAAAATAAAATAGATACATTTAATTTTATACAAACGTAATATTAAATTGAATTTAAGTATTTTAATCATTTTCAATTTTGTCAATTTTAAAAACTTTTATCAGTTATTTATTATTTTAACAACTCCTCAAGGTAAAAAGTAACATGATTAAAGTAACATATATATGTAAAATTTCATTTCATGTGTTTTTCCCAAATGTTAGAAAAATAAGAGAATAAAAATGGTATTTGTAAAATTGTTTTTTTTTATTAAAATTAAGTGGTATTTATTAAATAGGACACTTTTTTATTTGTGAAAATACAAAACGTATTTTTGTGGTATTTACTAAAAATTACTTTTTAAATTTTATACAGTAAAAAATAACACTTTGTGGTATTTATTAAAATGGACTTTTTTTTTGAAAATGTTTATTTGGTGGAATTTATTAAATACGACATGCTGTTACTGAATACGATTTTCCAGAATTATTTATAATATTTATTATAATGAACTAACTGTGCAGAAATTAAATATGCAGGCAGCCAAATAACGGTTTACAGCGTTATTAAAGCTGATAGCATGACCGAAATAAACACTGAGGAAACCTGAAATTAGGGATTATAATGTGTGCGCTCTGTTTTCGGGCTTGTATGAGTTGTTTAATGGTGCTGTTAGTGCAGTTTTGGTGAGTGTGAGCGGCCAGCTTTGGGGGGAGCTGTTGTGTGTTTACTAGAGGGTGAGAGAGGTAGAGGTAGAGAGACAGTGAGAGAGTGAGAGAGAGACGGGGAGGGAGGGAGTGAGAGAGAGAGAGAGAGGGAGAGAGAGAGAAAACTTTTCAGTTTTAAAGAGGGAGAGGCAGCGTGGTGCTCTGAGTCTCACTATGCAGGTAAACGCATTGGCTAATTGCTCTGCTCTTAATTAATTAATCTGCGCTGTACTGAAAGCCAATCCAGGTTATGCTGTGCACTGAGCGGCGTGGGGGTGACTGGTTTATTTTGCTGTTGTTGAGCTTCTGCACTGTGCATATAGTTGGATTTCGGACCTTAAATCCCAAAACTTTTCTACCTCCGTCTCCCACTCGCCCCTCCAGCTGCGTATTAATTCTGCCCTTAATTACTGCGATCATATTAAAAAACACCCACATTTGACATTAACTATGCTATTTAGCATTGAAAGATGGACTTCGGTATCGAAGTAGACCGTTCTGATCTTTTTAAGCGAATGAGAGAAGGTAGAAAACGTGTTTTTCTTTCCACGCATCTGTTAAAGAAATGCATTAATTAAGTAGCTCAGCCTGTGTAGGCCGCAGTGTCCGTGCCGGAGCAGACAGCGGGTGCTCCGTGACTGGCTGCCCAGCCAGCAGATACAATCTGCGGTAGAGGTGCAGCAATCAAGGCCGCGGCTTTTGGATCAGAGGGGGGATAAAGGCTATTTACAAAATTCAATTAGTGCTCTTTTTCCTCGACTTTGTTTCTCGACTAAATGTTAAAGAGACAGGCCGGTCTGCTGCACAATGTGTCCGATTGTACTCCGATTTCATGCTTTATTTGAAGTTAAATGAGGTTCACGACGCGTAATTAGTGAGCTAGCCAATTTGTTTAGTTAGTAGCTAAAAACTAAACAGACGTCGAAAGACTGATTAAAACGACACCAATTCGGGTAACACCGCTCCGACTTAAGTTGGAATCGAGTAAAAGGTTTAACCAGGTCGGAGTGGTTTGCAAATATTTGTCATATTTAGTCATTATCGTGCTAATTGGGGTGTTAGCCAGCTGCTAACAGGACAGGCTAGCTAGCCCTGCTAATTGATTCCACACCAATCTTGCTAATGAGCCTGTGTGTTAATTAACACAATTATCAAGAGTTATAGCGGCCGCAGGATGTTGGATAAATATTGAATACATGTTTTATGTCGAGTATGGTGTTTTTGAGGGTCTGTTGGACTTTCGTCACTAGTTGGGAGTACTTTTATTTGGGAGTCCAGTAGCAGCAAAGCTAATTGGCGTGGAGTCGCAGCTTTAGCAGAGAGGCGCTGCAAATGGGGACTGCTGGCATTTACTGCTCCTCAGCAGTCTGCGCTGAATTGTTTTACACGCAAAACTCATAAATTGTTTGCGCACAGTTTATGCTGAAGCGGTGTTGAGCTGAGGTTTGTGCTTATTTGTTTAATAATGTGCAGTCGATGAATTTGTGTTTGTTGTTTTATGTGTTTATTTATTTATTTAATTATTTTAAAGCGACATTATGCTGCAGGAAAAATGAGCAGGAAACATGTAGTCCTGAGTTTTCTAATAATAATCTGAAAGTGGTGGCGCGATTTTTATAATGTTATATTCTTTTCAATAATTATGACGTCAGTGACCAAGGCCCCTTAACTGTCTGTATAGATTAATTATTGATTTATCAGGTTACGCTGCTTTTAAGTATACAGCATTTTATTACACAGTTATGACTGATGTATTTTATGTAGTTGTTTTTGTTCATTTCTAGCTCTTGTAGTCTGTTATGGTAGGGTAGATGTCCTGTTTTGGCCTAAATTGTCAACTAATTTGGAATGAGATCAGTAATTCTACCAGTTGTGATGTTATTTAGTATTATGGTTGATTAGTGATTATGTACTTTTGCAAAACAATATGTAAACTTACGTATTTGCAGAGAGGACATTTGTTAGTGTATCACTGTTTCTTCTTGATGTGAGGTTTTGGTAGATTTTCTGAGAATACTGAGATCCTGGAGGTGTAGTTGGAGTTAACTGAAGGGCTCATATCAAGGAAAAATAAAGTTTCCTCACTTGTAAAAAATAAATAAATAAATAAATAAAGTAAGTGTTTGGTGTAGTATATAAACACATCCATACAGTCCAACTGAGCTGTCTGTTTTGAAAGAGCTGTCTTTGTCACAAAAACAATCACGTTTACGTATGTAGTTCAGCCTACAGCAGTTTAGTCCTGTCTACTTGTGCTAAAGTTATAAGGAATGTTTTAGCCCAGACTACTTTAGGAACAAGGCATAACACTAGGTAGCCAATCAGAACAGAGCTCATTTACATATGTCAGTCTTAAAGGCACAGTAACAAAGGGGGTGCCTAAGGAATAAAGAGAGGTTGGAAAATGGTCATGTTAAAAGGAATAATAATTTTGGTAAATAAAATCAAATTAATATTGTAAGTAGTAAAAAAAATAAAAATATAAAAAATAAAACAAGAAAATGTTCATTATGGGTTCGTTAAAGCGACCTTAGCTCACATTCTTTAATTGTAGCGGCTGAAATAATGGACTTGTGTACCCAGCACTACAGCTAATTGAATTTGCTTCTGTTTTCTGAGGATTAAATGGAATTTTAGTAAATCTCAAGTTTTATTGCACACTTTTTGATTCATTTAAATGGAAATGAAACCGATCATAATTGCTGCATAATTTAGTGGTTGAGATGTAAGCAAAGTCATTCAGAGTGGTTTAATGTGAAATTGATCATTGTAGGGAAAAACAGATTTCTTTACAGTGGTGGTGAAAGGAACCGGGGGTTGTGATGTCTGTAGACATCAGTCAGTGTAATCATAACCATTTCATGTAATTAGGTTTTGTGAGGGTGCTTTTAGAGCGGGGTCCCAAACTTCTGTTATATAAATGTCCGGCCCACAATTTTTTTTTATTATTATTTTTTTGCTGTAATAATTTCCATCTGATGGGAAGATCTGCTTCACCCACCAGACTCTGTGGCTGGTTACCCAACAAAAGCTCAATAAAATCAGCTTTTCTGTTCTAAATTAGATTGGTAGTTAAATCTGCCTTTGTGGAATCATTCAGAATACAGTGGTAAAATGCTTAAACAAATCCAATGAGAATGCAGAGTTAACTGCTCTGCCAACACTTCACTCTCAATAGCTTCACTTGTGTTCATCAGGAATGTTAATGGTATCAAAATATAACTCTACTGTTAAATGTTTGATTTAATTACGTATGCGACACTGTATCTATTGCCATTGCTATTAGTACTACTACTACCAATATTAAAAAATGTTATAATTATATTAATTATCTCGTAATAACTCTAATAGTAATTATACTAGAATAACAGATATATTGTAATGGAAGAATTGCTAATAAACATTGACTAATATGTGCTTAAATGAGTATGTTATGTAGTTATAATTACATTTTTTCACACATATTTATTATAGCTAGCCCCTCCTTGTAGAACACCACCTGGCTAGTGGCACTCAGGTAATTTGAGTTATAGTTAATATGTAAATAGTCATTCAGAGTGCTTTGATGTGAAATGCTCTGTTCTAAAGAAGCTTACCATCAGAATTGTTCACAGTGGTGATGATAGGAACCAGACGTCCACCTCTAAAATCTCCCATGTAGAAAGTTATTACATGTAATGGTTATGAATACACTGCCTGATATGTGAGACAATGCTTTACAAAAGCTTTGAGGTATTTTTGGCGTAAAAGTATTTTTAAAACATAGTCATGGCGGGGAGGTACAAGTTGGTGTTCTAAGGTGAAATAGTCCCCAAGGAAAAACATTCTTCAGATTTACCCTTGCTTTTTTGTGGTCAACATTACATGTAAAAACTGAGAAGATGTTTAGGTTCACTGATAGTTTTGGATAGTGATTAAAATGGCTTTATTTGTGTTGTAGTCATCATGATTAGAGATGCACTGGTTGCAATTTTCTTGGCCAATTTTGATCTCAGATTTTTTTTAAATCTAACCTGCCGATTCTGATTTTGGCTGATTTTCTTTCTTCTTAAGAGCTATAATTCAAACTATTCACAAACATATTTGTAACTTTTCTCTACTGGCAGATCCTCACTTCTCAAAATAAAAACTGCACTGGTTTACAGGACGAAC